CTGAACTGCCTATTTATAACCCTAGGATCCTCCTCGTGGAGAACTATTTATTATACACCAGAAGGCATGTAGGGCTGTAATAAGTGAATTACAGCACAGGTGAAGGGCCCTGCTCCATACGAGCTTATATTCTGAAGCAGCAACCTCACTGATGCAGACTTCTAGAGAGTCCTAAGAAAAGACAAAGCCATTATGCACAGAGGGAATTCTGAGTAAACAGCAGCAGATCATTAGCCAAGTTCAGTTTTGTTTTTTGTTTGTTTGCATGCAATGTCTTTCAGTGGACAATGGATTGAATTTACCAGCAAGTGTGGGAGCCTCAACTTACGTTCGTTATGGTTAACTCTGGGCCCCTGTTGTCCTAATGGAGGGGCCAGAATCTAGGAAGTCTAACACAGTGGAGAATGGAAAATCCCTGCCTTTGCCACCCCCCACACTCACTCATTGTCTTTCAATCTCTCTCCTTTGCTCTCTTTTAACCTCTTTTTCAATCTCTCTGTCTCTGTCTCCATCTGGGTCAGTCTGTCTGTCTGTCTGTCTGTCTCTCTCTCTCTCTCACACACACACACAGAGCCAGGCCATTGTTCATCAGTTATCTGATTTCCTCCCTGTCTCTGTCTCCACTGCTGTAGATGAGAGGGGGGAAGCTGAGGCAGTTCCAGATCTGCCTATTCTTCATCACGAAATGACTATTTAAAGGAAATTCAGTGTATTTACCTACAGTATCCATTGTTTCCAGAGTGAAATTGTGATTATCTTGTTATTTATTTTTGGACTAATAAAGATCCTCTAAAATTATTGTCATTTAGTACGTAAAGCCCTTGCCCAGGTTGGGAGGAGAGGGAGCATTGGGAGGACATTTTCCCAGTCTTCGTGATGTTTTCAGAAACTCAGTTCTCAAGCTTATTACAAAGTATCTTGGTGACAGCACACTCTCTGGAAGTCTGGGGCAGCCTCCAATAGGTGATGTGGAAGCCTATTCAGTGAAAAGCAGCTTGGGTCTTTAGTTCCAGCTTGTTCTGAAAAGGTTGCAAGAGATTGAGAGGAGATTTTTTTCTTGATTAATCTTAACTAAATTGGGGCTAGAAGGAGGGCATTTAATAGGAAGGAGTAGCATGACTTTTTAATGGCTGTCTAGGTGGTTCAACAAGAGGCAATGGAGCTGGGACAACTTGAGAGCAAGTATTGGCTCGACAGTC